TCCTGCCAATAACACCTTAACCTTCCTGCCAGCCACCCATTATATTTGAGACTCTTAAATGTTGATGATTTGATCTTTAATTATGGCATTCATGTCTCAACACCAACAATATATATAACCCATTTTTTAAGTCGCCGTAATAATTTAGTGTCTTGTAAGGTAAAGGCAGAGGTAAAGTCTTTTATCAGTGAAGGATTTTCTTTCAAACTTCACCACACTTGACGTTAACCATTAAAATATACGTATGATTTCTGGGATGCTAAGATATTTCTCCCTCACGGTTTGTCGTCTTTGGTAGTTCTCAAACCTCGTAGATTAAAACCCTCGCAACCAGCTACTGTAAAACACTTAGCCAATCATGCCTTGTCTCCTCAACTCTTATAAATGTTGACTCTGATGTCGTGAATCTGTGTCGACATTCCGAAAGTTATTGACTAAAAGAATCCGCCCCCGGGTGACTTTGTTGGAGTTGGTTTTATTTTTTTGCTGTCTTAGTACATTAATTTTAGCAGATAACTCTTGCATCTCTCACACACACACACACACCTCCTTCACCACTCCAAATATTTTAGCTATAAATCGTGACTCACAGATGTTGTATCACACACGGCTCTCTCTCTCTCTCTCTCTCTCTCTCTCTCTCTCTCTCTCTCTCTCTCTCTCTCTCTCTCTTTTGTAACATATGTGTGGGTGGCGGTGCACATGTGTAAGAAGAGGGTAGGTGTTCAGGCTTATTCTGGCACATACCTGTGTGAAGTTGATGCATTATGTGGAGTGTTTTTTCTGTATACATATGTAAGATTTTTTTTTTCTCCATCAAGTACTGTATTTAGTTTGTATGTGAATGTATATTATGTATACTCATTGCTCGGGTACATATATACGTGTTGGATATAGGGTAGAGTATGGTGATTGGAGGACACGTGTGTTAGTGGTAAAGTATGACCCCACCTCACCTAGGGCCATACTCTCACCTGTCTAACCTAGTGGTCTCCTGTCTTACCTACATGATAATTAGATGTACCTCTTTCTTCCTCCTCCTCTTACCTCTTTCTTCCTCCTCCTCCCCCTCCTCCTCTTACCTCTTCTCCCTCTTCCTCTGTGGTGAGTTAAGAGGGACCACTTGTCATAATTAACATACACGCCCCATGACTATCTTGCATGAGTTTAATATTTTCATCGTTTGATCAAAAGCGTCCGTATATATTTCACGTCTAGTTGGCAAAGTAAGGTACATAGGAAGCATATGTTGTGATACATAAATGACACATGCCACGTGTTATGCAAATTTATGTTAATTGGGGGTGTTTTTGTCAGGTAATATGCAAAGATTTGATAATTTTTGGTATTTTTTGTCATATGTAATGTTTTGATAAGTTCAGCTTCTTTTTTATCCTATTATGTAAAGTTCTTATTTATTACTATTTACAAATATGTGAGGAATCAAATTGGTTTACGCCTCAAATTGGTTATAATGAAGATAAATTATATAAAAAAATCCGTATTTATGATCAACAAACCTAACCTAACAGTAAACAAACATGACAGTCAATAACAACTTGTGCTATATTGTTTATCTTGAGTAAATAACTGGACTTATCACAATGAACTGACTCCCGGGTGATTCGGGAGTCAGTTCGGGTGTGAGGTGGGAAGCCGGGAGAGAGAGGGGGAGTGAGGGAGTTAGTCACCTCTTCCTTGACGTTAATTTGGTTTCGTTCACCTCAAGAGTCACTCATTAACCTGGAGAACCTGTCGTCTGGAGGTTGAGCTGAAGTGGTATTTCTTGCAAGGTGTTTGGCAAGGTTTTGTGTAGTACGGTTTTACAGGTGAGGGTTCTTGGATTAGGTAGAGATAGGAAAGAGAAAGGGGAGATGATGATGAGACAGAGAGAGAGAGAGAGAGAGAGACAGACAGACAGACAGACAAAGAGACAGACAGACAGAGAGAGATAGAGAGAGAGAACATGGAGAAGGTTCCTGATCTATAAATTCACTTTGTTTTAAATTAATTAATCCCAGGAAATAATCAATCTCTTCCCCAAAATAGTCCTTCAGTCACTTAACTGATATTAACGAAATATATCAGACTAGAATGAGATTATCTTATCGTGATGTAATTAACAGCTAGGAACATCATTTGTCATGCCCGGCCATTTGTTAGCTTCAGGCGATAAGAGATAAGGTGTTTGAGAGAGACAGGGGTAGTGGGCCGTTAACCTTGGCGTCTAGCTAACCTTCTGTAGCCGCTGCTGTGTGTATGGTGATAACAACGAGAGTGATGACTTCCTTCCTTCCTTCCTTCCTTCCTCCATTCCTTCCTTCCTTCCTCAGCTTCCCTCCCTCCCTCAACTTCCCCCTCTCTCTCTCTCTCTCTCTCTCTCTCTCTCTCTCTCTCTCTCTCTCTCTTTTTTTCCATGCCTTCTCAATCTCCTTTCCTCCTTCTTCCCTAGTTTCCTCCGTCCTTTTCTCCCTTGTACCATCCTCCTCTCAACTCCTTTTCCATCCCCTAAACTCCCATTCTTTCTCCCTCCCTCTTTTTCCTTCCTTCCTCTGACCCCCCCCTCCCTTTCCCCTCTCCCTTAACTTCCACCCCTACTACCCCTTTTCATCTTCCTCCCCCTCCCCTTCCCCTTCCTCCCTCCCCTTCCCTCCCCTCCCTTCCCCAGGCAGTTTCTCCTATTCAGTACCACACACAAACATTCACGCTTCTACTTTCTTACATGAAAGTCAGAACTCTCTCCCCAGACTTTCTTCTTTTAACGTTTATCATCCCGGGTGGGGTCAAGCCACGCCCGGCCACCTGGGTATATCCACGAATAACGTCCAGAAGATGAGCCATTAAGTGTAATCCTTGTTGCCATTAGGGGAATTATTGTGTGTGTGTGTGTGTGTGTGTGTGTGTGTGTGTGTGTGTGTGTGTGTGTGTGTGTGTGTGTGTGTGTGTGTGACTGGATAACCGGTTTTGGGGGTCGCTTGGACACGTGTCAGGCAAGAGTGAAAGCATTAGTGTGTGTGTGTGTGTGTTTTAGACGTGTTTCATGGTTTGTTGGTGTCTACATGTGTGTACTTATTTGATTCTTTGATTTGCTTGGCCGTGGGCTGCATGAGAGAGAGAGGGGGGGGTAAGTAGCAACACAAATAGAAAAATAAAGAGAAATGGAATAAATAGTGAATGCGGAAGGAGAATGTAAGGAGAAAATACATGACAAGACACAACATTGCAATTGAGTCTGTTTAATGCAGATGGCGGATGTCTGACAGTGAGACTCGACAGATCACCATCTTATCGTACTTAATAATGTACTTTCATCAGTCCTGTTCCATACTACCTGTGATAAGGATGATGCAATTAATGACACGTATTAGAAATGATGATGATGACGACGACGAGAGTACTAACACACACAGACAGACAGACTAACACAGACAGACAGACAGACAGACAGATAGACAGACAGACAGACAGACAGGCAGGGCCGAAAAGAGTACGCTACCACATACTTATAGTCAATGTAATAAAAATAATAACGGTAATAAAATCCTAATGACACTTTCCCATGGCGTCGAGTTAAGGAAGTAAAAGTGATTCGATAGCATTTTCTTTTTATGGCAAATTGGGCGTCATCAGTGCAGCAGCTGTTGAATTATAAACACTTTCACACCACCTTGTTACGTTACCACCTCATACTACCTTGTTACGTTACCACCTCACACCTTGTTATGTTACCACCTCACACTACCTTGTTACGTTACCACCTCACACTACCTTGTTATGTTACCACCTCACACCTTGTTACGTTACCACCTCACACTACCTTGTTACATTACCACCTCACACTACCTTGTTACGTTACCACCTCACACTACCTTGTTACGTTACCACCTCACACTACCTTGTTACGTTACCACCTCGAGGAACACTTCCAGGATATACTGCTAGGGATCCTCACCTTGGGGGAGAGGATATGAGGATATGTGATTATTTGCTGACTTGTGTGGTGGGTGGGTGGGTGTGGGGTGGGTGGGTGTAGGGGTAGTGGGTGGGCGTGTGTGGTTCATTGTTTGGATGTTTGTGTGTGTGTGTTTTGTGGTTCAAAAGAGAGACTTTCCCTAAACCACAACCTTCACCTTCCTTACCGGGGGCGACATAGTGCTTTGTGGTTTAACTCTATGGGACCCATGCCTATATGACGCCTCTGTGTGTGTGTGTGTGTGTGTGTGTGTGAGAGAAAACCCCCTCGTTGATATGTTTTGATCTTAATCGCATCTCAACTTTCATCTGTTCATGTGCTGGAAAATTTAATAAACTACATCTAAACTTTTATTTTTAAGAAGGGAGGAGGAGAAAGCTAGAGAGAGAGAGAGAGAGAGAGAGAGAGAGAGAGAGAGAGAGAGAGAGAGAGAATTTGACTTTCATATTTTCTTCTCCACGTGTTTATATATTGATTGAATTGGCTGCTGATTTGCCTTAGGTTTTTGCTTACTGCTATGCTGTTAGTTTCTCCTCAGCTATACATCGCCAACAGGTCGTGTGTCACAAGTATATGGTAACACTGGTTTTGTTGTCATGTTATATATATAAGTGAATAACTTCGCTGTTGTTGATTGTTATTGTTCTCTTTGTTATTGATGTTTCTCGGACTGTGTTATTTCTGTTGGTTGAGAGTTATGGCAGATCATTACCAACACGAATCTACTTGTTGTGTGTGTGTAGGTTTTACTGGGGACGAGTTGAAGGACGAAAAGTAAAATAATTCAGCTGTTGTATAATCTTCACCAGTTATGTTGTGTGTATATGGTGGAAATGGTGTGTGAGTAGTACACATACATACACACAGGTAAATTAAAGTGTGTAGACTGCATGTATATGAGGTAATGTCCTCGAATTTGGCCGAGTTTGACGACCAAGGAACGAGCACGACCTGTGGTGGTGACGGTAATACTTTTAAGGCAGCATGAACACACTGGAGCTGTGTATAAGGAGTTGTATACTTTCAGGTGCAAGGAGGCAAAATATTCTTCCCTGATTCACCTGAAGCAGAGGGGCTCTCAGCGACGCCTTCAGACACCCGGGAGGAGCGGGGACTATGGGAGAGTGACCTCTTCTTCCTTCAGAAGTTATCAGGGCTGTTCGGCAGTGATGATAAGCCGCAACGCCGCAAGGCTACAACTCGTCCTAACCTGCGACCGGAACTCTTGCCGCCGCAGTTTCTTTATCACAATCGCCGCACGGGTACCAAAAACCCCGGACACCTGAACCAAGTGGGCGTGAGACAGGTCACCAGGGTTCCGGTCAGGTCACCTCCACACCTGCCGTCGCCTCATCAGGGTTTTCAGGTGTTTGGGCGGCCCCTACCAAACCCACAAGGGCTTAAACCACCTCCACCCCGCCAGAACGTTCATGTCATCACCCCGTCGACACAGAACGTCCCTCCACCACCAGACTCCTTAAGTCAGTATTCCCATAACCAACAAGTTGCCTTCCGCCCACCACCGCCTCTACCTGTACCACCGAAACTACCTGCCTCAGTGTCTCCCGTTCAGTCGCCGGTGAGCTTCCCCTACCAGTTCGTGAGGCCGGGCACCCACCTCCCCGATAACAACAACATCCCTCATCGTCCTACCGCCAACTTCCCACCTAGGGTCAACGCACCCCAGCCCAACTTACCTCCCCGCCCGATCTCGCTCCCCGCCAATTTCCAAACCAGAGTAACAGTGCCACCACGTCATAACTCACCCCACTCTCCAGCACCAAGACCTCCACCACCTGCCAAGCCTGTCAAGTCCAAGAAGCCTACACTGCTGGGGAGTTGGGCAGACTTCTCTAATGGAGTCTTCGGCAACACGGGACGCCCTCAGAAGCATCCTAGACCAGCACCGCAGCCCCAGAGAGTCATCATCCCGCCCCATCATAAACTGACGCAGAAGAAGGATTTTAAACCGAGCCTAGAGTTTAAGCCAAGTCCTCAGGAAGGAAACAGCGCTTTTGATGCCTTCCAACCTGTCTTCGTCGCCTCACCCTTCATGGACGACCTGAGTGATGATGTGATGAAGCCCATGCGTGTGGCGGCGTTGAGGACCCCTGCCACCACCACCACCTCACAACCCATACTCCAGGATTTCTTCTAAAGGGAGATAGTGAGAGATATAGGAGATGTACTGTATATAAGTGATGTGGTAGATGTGACGTGGAACTCGATCTTTCTTAAGGTAATTCATAACGAGTTGTAAAATAAACCCGGTATATTCCTCCTGATGAGAAAGATTACTGTGAGACATCTACGCTGGATTATGTAGAGATAATATGACGTTATAACTGAACATAGAAATTATCCATAAGACTTAATACAGTTCATTACAGTCTGGATTAACTTGGGTGAAACTAAAGCAAATGAGTTACATGGTGTTTGGTAAGAGCATTTAGTAAACCTACAATACTTAAATGCTAAATAAATACAAAATATACGAGAGAAATTCTGTAATGAGTAATGAACAGGTATATATATCTAATTGGATACATGGAAGGTGTGCATAAAATACTCAAGAGTAACTGTATTTTAAGCCAAGTGTATAAATGATGTTGATAATGTATGTATGTTAAGATAGTCAGTAACGTAGGAACTTTTGTAATGCCAGAATAAGAAGCCCTTAGTAATATTATTAAGACCTTGATGTAATTTTATATTTAATGAATGTAAAGTTGCCAACAGATGACGCAATTCCTAAGTTTATTGAATGTGTATAACTCTGGATAGTGTAATGTATGGATGTGTAATTCTCATTCGTTCACTCATCTTCTGAATGTTCTGTATGTCCTGTAATTCATCAATTTTTTTCATCATTCATTTCTTATATATTTTAAAGTCTTATTCATATCATCTCTCACAATCGTTGGCTCGTCCTCCAGTACATTACATAACTCATTCACAAAACTCTCTGCAACTGTGAATTCTATGCAACTGTAAACTCTCTGCAACTGTAAATTCTATGCAATTGTAAACTCTCTGCAACTCTCAACTCTCTGCAACTCTCAACTCTCTGCAACTCTAAACTCTCTGCAACTCTAAGCTCTCTGCAACTCTAAGCTCTCTGCAACTCTAAACTCTCTGCAACTCTCAACTCTCTGCAACTCTAAACTCTCTGCAACTCTAAACTCTCTGCAACTCTCAACTCTATACAACTCTAAACTCTCTGCAACTCTAAACTCTCTGCAACTCTAACTCTATACAACTCTTTATATCCCAAAGTTGTTATCTAATATGTAAACAATGACTCGGTGATCGCTGCTTAAAGACCCTGGTTGTTAGAGGCACCTAATGACTGTACAGGGTGGGTCAAATGTTGGTGTTCATATATCAACAACAATCTGAAGAATACCTTTTAGTTATTACTGTATTAAAATCAGCATGAGTGAACTGAGAAACACCTATAGTGGATTTTACCCAAGAATTTATATATGTATGTAAATTTGTGGCATCACATTTGAATATTAGAATGAATTAAGGGTAAATGGTGAACCCTATGCCTATGAGTACCAACTTTTGGGACACCCTGTATATCAAAACGATCTGAAAATAGGGTTTCTCTATATAACACCTACACTTTTGGGACACCCTGTATATCAAAACGACCTGAAAATAGGGTTTCTCTATATAACACCTACACTTTTGGGACACCCTGTATATCAAAACGACCTGAAAATAGGGTTTCTCTATATAACACCTACACTTTTGGGACACCCTGTATATCAAAACGACCTGAAAATAGGGTTTCTCTATATAACACCTACACTTTTGGGACACCCTGTATATATCAAAACGACCTGAAAATAGGGTTTCTCTATATAACACCTACACTTTTGGGACACCCTGTATATCAAAACGACCTGAAAATAGGGTTTCTCTATATAACACCTACACTTTTGGGACACCCTGTATATCAAAATGACATAGGAAAACTACTTTATATCCTTATACAACATCTACCTCTTTAATAACCTCGATAGGATAATGTCTTGCTATATCCACATTGACCCTATCTAGCAGTCAGGACTATGGGGCCGTCAGCACCATCACTACCGTCTTCATTCACTCATTTTGACCTGTTCTTTGTTATTCATTTTTCAGGTGTCGTGAATAAGTTGTTTATTCATCATTCTCATTCCACGTTTCTCGCCTTAAGACACACAGGTGATAATACTCGTTTATATGGTGTATAATATGTTGTGTTAGATTATGTGTAAATAAAACCCCATGAGTACTTTTGTCAACATATGGTATCGACCTTGAGGGGCACATGGGTCAAGGGGTGTTGGGGTATTTAATATGAATATACTCAGGGTGTTGTTGTTTTTATTTGTTATGGTTTGTGTGTGTTATTGTTGTTATAATGATGTAAATTCGCTTCGTTTCATCAGCTTTAAACCCAAAACATATATGACCCACAAGTAGTGTACCATGTGTTGGCAAGTGTCTCGGGGTTACAGAGCAGAATTGTATGGGTTTGTAAAAGATGTGTTTTATTATGTTGAGGTTGCTGGTCGACCGTATTGTTAATAATTATTTATTATTTACATTAAAGTGTTTTGTCTTATTTTTTCCTGACCCTGATAGCTCATGGGAAATTGGGTATTTGTATCGGAAAATTGTGTAAAATAATTGTCTAAAAATTTGGTGAAATACTTGTCTCAAAAAATTGGGTGAAATCATTGTCTCGGAAATTTGGGAAAAATAATTGTCTCAGAAAATTGGGTGAAATAATTCTCTAAAAAAAATTGGATGGAATAATAATCTCAGAAAATTGGGTAAAAATCATGTACTGTACTTGAAAAATAACTACAAATTCCTGTGTTTATTTTGGGTAAGTTTTTGTAATAGAAAACATTAATGATTTGTTATAAAAAGTAATGTGTATCAAGTATACTTACGATGGCTGACTGAGTAGAAAATAGTGGAGATAAGTAGACGAATAGAGGTAGATGGATAGAGAGAGATAGACGAATTGATAGATAGATGGAAGCTTTAAAATATTGTGTCTTTGGTCTCATGTTTTTTTTTTCGTTTCATTTCATCTTAATTTGATTTTTTATTTGATTTTCGTATTTCTTACCAAACTGTTGTCATGATTGAGGCTACTCCATCACGCCAGCTGACCGTGATGACTGATGCACCTGTCTATCTCACCTGACGGCTAATTAGATATATCCTAAATGAAAACATGTTTAATCATCAGGTGAAAAAAAAATAGGATGCCTAATCAACAGGTTTTTAATTAGCGGAGAAATGTAAGACTTGTCCTGTAGCTTACCTGTAAAATTACCATCACAATTTAGGTTTTAATGAGAGAGAGAGAGAGAGAGAGAGAGAGAGTTATCTGTAAAAGGACGAGTGAGTGTAAAGGATGGTATTGCCTCGTAAACCTTGGCGCCAGATGAGGTCACCGTAGTCTCTCTCTCTCTCTCTTTCAATCCATCACTACTCTTCGCTCTTCATCTCCATTTTCATTATCTTCCTCCTCTCTCCCTTTCCATTATCTGCCTCTTCTACCACCTTCCTCCTTCACTGTTATGCCCCTCTCATCCACTCCCCTCTCCTCCCCTCCCCAACTATCCTCCCCTCATACGCACTCCCCTCTTCTCTATGCCTTATCTGCCCAATAGCTTATACGCCACCCCTCCCTCCCCCACCTTTTTACTCAATTAATATGTACTTTGTGTTAAATTTATGCATATGAATGCTAAAGTTAGGGTGTGTGTGTGTGTGTCCTGTCTCTAACTCACTATAATGTTATCATCACATCACAACCATAGGTGAAGACAGCCTGTATTTTCATCTCAGATCAACAACACCTTAACACATTATACAAGATTGAAACACTTATGTATAACAAATAACAAAGTCACTTACCACGCACTCAACCATCCACTTGTGCCTGAGTCTATTTTCATGGTCTACCTTGCGAGAGGAAAAAAAATCTGTGGTGTTATTTAAATTTATGTTAAAATTTATATAAGAAAAATTTTAATTACATAGATGTGTATAATGAATAGTGTTGGATTCGAAACCTTAAGTCGAAAAGGTTCCGAATCTCATGAGTTATTGTATGAATCTGGTATTAATACTTACTACAGGGTCTTGGTTTATTTTTAGTGTGTAAATATTACCATCTGTGAAGTAAACTAAAATTAGCTAAGCCAGTCAGGAATGGCAAAGAACAGAGTCGTTTTATACACAATTTGCATCTGACTTGGAGGAAGGGGAGGGAGGTGGGTCTTCCTGGTTCAGTCGACCTTCAATGGGTTAATAAAATGAAATCACCTGAAAAATAGGGCCCCCAGCTTATTTAACCTTACCGCTACAGGTGGGGGGGATTAGGTTAGGTTAGATTAAGTCCGGTCAGGTTAGGAGTTAATATTAGGGTGGTTAATCTTCAGGTGAAACAAGCTAGGGGTTCATCTTCAAGTGTTAATAAAAAAAGAACAATTCGACTCAGTTCGTCAGTGCCATAAACCCCGTACCCAAGCTTAATGGCTGTGTTTAGTACCTGCCAGACGCTGGTTGGTTGGTTGCTTGCATCCACCACCACACAGTTAGGTAGGTAGGTCACCACACTGAGCCACCAGGAACACATAATTCACCCACAGGAGAGAGAGGAGTATTAGTTGTCTACCCATATGGCCGACACTCCCGTTCCTCTACCTCAGGAACTTCACCCTTACGTGTCTCTTTTTACACCTCCTGTGACGTGCACCTTGATGCCATCGTCTTCCTCTTCGTCAGGATGAGCGAGAGTTGATTCCCCTAGACTGGCGTTTATCTATAGCGGGACACACACACACACACACACACACACACACACACACACACACACACACACACACACACAACACACACACACACACACACACACACACGAGTATCCACGATATGACCTCAGATCACCTTAAATTAGGCACCCCTCTATATTTAACCTAGCCTAACATAAACTAACCTAACCTAACCTAACCTAACCTAACTTAACCTAACCTAACCAGAGTACAGGAGTGACAGAGGAATGTTGGATAAATATGGGAAAAGGGGAAACTAGATAAATGAGGGAAGGGGAGAATTAGATAAATAATGGAATGGGGAAAGGTAGATAATTGTAGGATGAGGAAACTAGATCAACTTGGGTAGGGGCAAACTAGATAAATATGGGAAGGTGGAGAACTGAATAAATGTGGGAAGGGGGAATTTAGGTAAAGATGGGAAGGGAGGTGGGAACAAGACAAGCGTGACCAAAGATAAACGAGAGTAACAGTGAAATAAAGTAATAATCGATTAATGTTACTTTAGTCGACTTTTACTTTATTCTATACTTTCTATTATCTACTTTTAAACTAACCCTACTGACCATAGGATCTCACCATAGGACCTTACCATAGGACCTTACCATAGGACCTTACCATAGGACCTTACCATAGGATCTCACCATAGGACCTTACTGACCATAGGATCTCACCATAGGACCTTACAATAGGATCTTACCATAGGACCTTCCTATAGGATCTTGCCATAGGACCTTACCATAGGATCTCACCATAGGACCTTACCATAGGACCTTACCACAGGACCTTAGCATAGGACCATACCACAGGACCTTACCACAGGACCTTACCATAGGACCTTAGCAGAGGACCTTAGCAGAGGACCTTACCATAGGACCTTACCACAGGACCTTAGCATAGGATCTTACCATAGGACCTTACCATAGGATCTTACTATAGAACCTTACTATAGGACCTTAGCACAGGCCCTTAGCACAGGACCTTAGCACAGGGCCTTACCACAGGACCTTACCACAGGACCTTACTATAGGACCTTACCATAGGACCTTAGCATAGGACCATACCACAGGACCTTACCACCACGGGACCTTAGCATAGAGTCCTGACTGCGTTGTTAGCTCAATACCCGCTAACTGTGATGTACAAAAAAAGAAGAAAAAAACTTACTATGAAATATGGTTTACTCGACCTGGCGCCCGTCAGGACCCGGCGATCGACTCTCCCACCTCACCATTACGCTCCTTACTGAATAATGTCTGCAACGCTTATATTAACATTTGTATTACCTGTGTGTGTGTGTGTGTGTGTGTGTGTGTGTGTGTGTGTGTGTGTGTGTGTGTGTGTGTGTGTGAAGTAGATTTGATAACGAAGAGGGTAGGTATTAATCTTATCTTATCTTTTAATTTTGTTTATTTATTTTTTCATTTTATTCCCCTCTCTCTCTCTCTTCTTCTAGTTCATATCTTCTCTCTCTCTGTGTATTTATCTAAGGCAAAACTGCACTTCCCTGGTATGCCAATTTAAAGGTAATAAACACGATGGTCTGGGCGGTAAATTGCTGACATATGCTCACCTCCTCCGCCCTGATCCTCAAACACTCGTACGGTAAACAAAAATTCCCCCTTAAGACAATGTATCTATTTTACGATATTCTCAGTACAGATACGATTTTTTCTTCTTCAGTATTGTTTTTAAAGGTTAATATGTTAATTAATGTTTTATTTTGCCTTAGAGAGAGTATTTGGGTATGGTAGAGTCTCAGTGATGATTTGGTGCCATATTGGTTGATGTCTGTGGGTTTTATTTTTGTTTTTCCCTGTAAGTCTTAACATACGGAAGAAATTAATCTACGTATAGTATTCCATATGGCGTTAAATTGGCTCTGTGACTCTACTAGAACGATTCAGTCACAAATAAGAGTTAAAGGGAAGAATTTAAAGTTCGTATGGCGAGCAAAATGGCTTTAAATTTGCTCTGTGACTCTACTGTAACTAGAGGCCATCATGTACCGCCAAATGGGTGAGAAATCAGTGGTATACCCAAGACACCCGCATGCTGATGGGTGGGTGTGTGGGGGAGTGGGAGGTCGGCCTGTTGGTGTCTCTTTAAATGGAGAGAGAGAGAGAGAAGAGTAGTACTGGTAACAGGGATTAGGATTTGTGGCAGGGGTTGGGTGTGGGTGGCAGGAGGATAGACTTGGGTGACAGGGTTAGTTGTGGTGGCAGGAGGATAGTCATGGTTGGCAGGGAGGATAGTCATGGTTGGCAGGGATGATGGACGTGGTGTAAGGCGTTGACGGGGATTTTTAGGGGGTGATAATCATTAGCAGTTGTTGACATACGTTGGCAGAGGTTGGCAAACGTTGGCAGGCGTTGACTCTATGGATGGATGTGGTTGCAAACGTTGGCAGGGAGGATGGGGGCATGATGACACGTGTTGGCAAGTGTTGGTAGAAGGAATAGGCGTGGTATTATTGTGTTGGCAGGGAAGATGGGCGTGATGGCTAGGGTTGGCAGAGGTGGGCGTGTTATTAAGGGGTTGGCAGGAAGGATAGGCTTGGTGGCAGAGATTGACAGAGGGATGGGGGGTGGTGCCACCAACACGTGAGAGTGCCACCTGCTCCCTGCACACTTAGGCACAGTGCCAACATCAGATTCCTGCCTGATGACTCCCGTGAGAGTACACACACACACACACACACACACACACACACACACACACACACAACACAACACACACTTTTATTTACACACACCACAATACACACTCACATACACACTGAAAAACAGAATGAGTTAGTGAGTGACTTGAGAGAGAGAGAGAGAGAGAGAGAGAGAGAGAGAGAGAGAGAGCAGATCACTCCCAAGCAAGGCGTATTCACCTAAATCAGTCAGTCAGTCAGTCAGTCATTTTGTGAGATACAACGTTTCCTCACACATACAATCTTTACGTAGAGGGTCGCCATATTTACTCCTAGTGAGTGAGTGAGTGAGTGAGTGATTGATTGTGGGGAGTGAGTGAGTGCGAATGAGTGAGTGGATGGGTGAGTGAAGTAGGTTGGGAGTAAGTGGAAGAGTGAATCAATGAGGGTGAATGGGTGAGCACATGAGGAAGAATGTGAGTGAGTGAGTGAGTGAGTGAGTGAGTGAGTGAGTGAGTTAATGTGAGTGAGTATGAGGACGTGAAAGATTTATTGAGTTGTATGAATTAGTGGGTTAGTGAGGGAACAAATGACTAAAGGAGTTAGGGTGAAGGTAAGAAAGTGAGTCATTGAGTGAGGGCCACAGGTTGAGTGAGTGAACGAGTGACAGTGAGTAATTCTGCAAGTTTGATTGACATAAGAACAAAAGAATATAAGGAGTCTGCAATAGGTCGGTTGGCCTGTGCATGGCAGCTCCTGTCGAGAGTTACTACCACTCTCTATCATCCATGAATCTATCTAGCCTCCTTTTGAAACTTTCCGAGTTCCCGCACTTACTACAAAGTTGCTAAGCTTGTTCCACTCGTCCACCACCTATTTGTGAACCAGTTTCTTCCTATCTCCCTCCTAAACCTAAACTTATCCAACATAAATCGTTGCTCCGATCCTATCCTGCTCGGATATTAAAAGAACTTTATCTATCTCCCTTTATTGATTCCTTTCACCCACTTAAATACTTCTATCATATCTCCCCACCTCTTCGTCTTTCTAGGGAATGCAAGTTTAGTTTCTTTAACCTATCCTGATATGGAAGGTTTCTAAGTCCCGGAATCATTTTGTCATTCTTCGCTGCACCGACTCTAGTGAATTTATATCCATTCTATAATAGGGGCACCAGAACTGAACCGCATAATCGAGGTGCGGCCTGACTAGCGCAAGATATGGTTGCAATAAGACCTCTGCACTCTTATTACTTACACTTCGAATATAAACCCAATACTCTGTTTTCCTTATTTCGAACATTAACGCCGTAGAAACTACAAAGGTAGTTATCGATTGAGAAGGGGGAACGCTATAGTGCCTGGACCTAATGACCATTGACATAACAAGCAGGGTGCCAGCCGTACAACAATGGCACTTGGTTGACTTTGGCACTGTGGAGGGGAAAGGGGGGGGGGTACCACAGTCCGTACCTCACCCATATAAGTGAATTACGCATACCTGATGAGTGTCTTCGCTTGTTATAGTGTGTGTGTGTGTGTGTGTGTGTGTGTGTGTGTGTGTGTGTGTGTGTGTGTGTGTGTGTGTGTGTGTGTGTGTGTGTGTGTGTGTGTGTGTGTGTGTGTGTGTGTGTGATTCCTATATAATTATTGATAGTGTGAAGTGCTACATTTATATTTCTTTAAGGCAATTAATGATTAGTAATAAAATTTCTTGCTTTGATATAAACAGTGAGTGTAAATAATTGCTTCTTTACATCTAGTTATTTTTCCCCAGATATTTATCATGACTGTTTCATAATAAACCTTTGCTCATCATCGCCTCCTAACTACAAATAAACACTGTGATGAGGCGAGTGGCGAACCCTACATGAGCACCATGCCAAGATTTTTGTTGTGGTAGGAGGTGTGGGGGGCGGGAGTGGGCCAGTCATCACAACACACCGACTGCGCATGCGTGGCCCGTAAGAAAACTCAACGACTAGCCGCTTTACACCTCAGTTGTACACCTACAGGCAGGTCGAGGTGATATCTCCTGCTCTTTCTGATATTTTCTTGTCTTAACCCCACACTGTACGTGATTTCTGTGGCCGGAAGACACAGTCCCTACCTGATCTTCTTTACTCACCTGAAAGGATATCGATCGGTTGTCCTCAACATTGAGCAGATAACGGGGTTGTGTGTGGTGGCAAAACTCAACCACCTGTGGATCGGGTGAGAGCGCGGGAGGCGAGGTCACCACCTGTACACGAGACCACCACTACTACTACTACTACCTCTCCTGGCTCAAGGTCATGGTCTGACACACACACGGGGTGATGCCAGACAAGTCCAATCGTTCAGCTGTTGTCACGCTCTCCCAAGACCTGGGACAAGACAACGTTATAAAAGTAAGTCTTACTTGCCTCTGTGTCAAGACCTTGTAGTAATGTTTACGTTTGATACCCATTCATTATTTGCACTGTACAGCATTGTTCTCTGTGATGTATATCTGACTATCCATAAATATTCTTAAATATAATTAGTGATGAGATTATTTTTAGTTTGCCTACAAGGACAACAGTCAGTAATAGCCAGCAAGGAATCATGAATCAGAACAGTCTAGTAAACACGTGTTTATATAATGGTGATAATTTGCGTAATGTCTACAATTTCTATAATTTAATGGTTGCTGTATAGAGGAAGGTTATAATCTGTAATGTTTATTATTTACATGATGGGTGTTGTTTGTCACTCAGATGGTGAACCCTTGCAGCCGCGGGGTGGAACGGAAGCAACCCACAACAGAGAAACAAAAGCATGGGACTGGCCGCGCTGGCCAGGTGTCCGTTATAATGGAGGGCCTCTACCTGTCAGGGGCGAGGGCGGTGCGGCAGGCGAGGCTGAGGGACCTGGGGGTGACGTGTGTGGTAAACAGCACTGTGGAGCTGCCTCTGGTGCCTCTAGACGACGTGGAGGTGGTACTTGTCAGGGTATCCGATGCCCCGAGCTCTGACCTTGCCGCCCACCTCGACGCCATCACAGACAAGATAGATGACGTGCGTGGGAGTGGCAGGCGTGTGTTGGTGCACTGTGTGGCGGGTGTGAGCCGTTCTCCCGCCATTATCCTGGCTTACCTGGTGAAATACGCCGACATGAGTCTCCGCCAGGCGTTCCTACACGTGCGAAGTGTCCGTCCAAACATACGACCAAACGCAGGATTCTTCTCCCAGTTGATTGAGTTTGAGAGGCGTGTGCGAGGGTCGACGAGTGTCACCCTGGTGAAGGACACCAACCTAGGACTGTCTATCCCTGACGTGTGTGAGGACGAGCTCAAAGTCCTGCGGGACACACGGTGGGCGCGGATGATCCATGAACGTCGTAACTTTGAGAGGCTGTACGCGTAGCCGCCGCCCACACCACCTCACACCGCCCTCCTCTGATCTCACAACACTTTACTGTAATAGTTTTTGCATTTTCTACCACTGCTAACTTAACCCAGTCTGGTTGATCCAAGGCTTCTAGAGAAACTTTTCTTGACCAATTACTTTGTGAATAACGTAAATGTTTCATATCGACCAAGCTGTTTGTTTTCATCGTGTTGTAGCGCTCGCAGCTGTCCGCCACGCACCAGGCTGTGTAGACAAATGTTTTGTGTACAGGTGAAAACACTCACACTTTTTGGCTACAAGTGACTAACGTGCTGATATTGTCTGTACCCAGAGCCATGAAGTTCTGACTGGTCTCTGACTTTGATAAATGTCTTGTAAGTTACTGTCATCTTTACAACTAATGGCCCGTCCCAAGCGTCGTGAGATGTATCTGAATTATTGCTTCGACTCTCCAACTGAGGTTTAAAAATTCGTCTTGTTTGACGTTTGAATGAATAACACGAAAGCAGTAATTAGTAAAAAATTTATCATTTACTTGGGAGATCAAATACCTCTGAATGAATGAATGAAATGAGAGCACCAATTAATGAAGCATTTTACCTGTACTAATTATCTCAGACACCCAGATGCATTAATCTACAGTGATTCTTTACCACGTTAACGTATACGGTCTCTAATAGCACGAGAGACCAATCACCACCACTGTCTCCTCTCACACACTGCACCATTACAGTGTGTAACTACCCTTAATGACTGGGTGTTTCCCGTGTTTATAAATGTAATGAATCTTTCTGTCTTTAAAAATAGTGTAATTGGGAGAATTTTTTATACCAAAGCTTAAGTTACAATCTTCTACCTATGTTAATATGAACAACTGTCAAAAGGTATTAGGTGTTTAACTCAATAAGGACGTAATAATCATAGGTTATAATAGCGAATTTCAACTTAAACTTACGGACTAATTACAGGTGTTGTTGTAATTGTCGTAAGGAAAAATTTTGAAATTGTAGTTCCTATGTTGTTACGTCTTTCTCTCTCCCGAGGTGATAGTTGTTGACCTTGTTAGGCGTGATGGATGAGGGTAGAGTGTCTTTGCTTCCATTTCTTTTTGCATTTCTCGATATTTTTGTACACTTTTGTCTGTCTGTCTGGCTGTCTGTCTGTCTGTCTGTCTGTCTGTCTGTCTGTCTGTCTGTCTCTTTCTGTCTGGAGATTGATATTTTATTTGTGTGTATCTTGTTTTAGTCATTTATATTCAATGTTTGTTTTGATATTACTCTCTCCCTCCCTTCACCCATTCTTCTCTTTTTAGTCTGTCTCTCTTTTATATCTTTACCCATCTTCTCTTATCTCTTTTTCACACATTTTCCTGTCATTTCTCCTATTCTTCTTTATCCCCTTCTCTGACTTTCTCCCTTTTACATCTCTTCTCTCCTCTTCCCTCTCTTATCTCACCCCCAATCCCAGCATCTTCCTTCATCTCGCCCTTACACCTCTTGGCACTCCCTGGCACCCCCCTACAGTGCCTCCGTGTGTATGTCAATCGCTGGTCGGTGGCATTATAAGATAAGAATCATGTAAAATATTTTTATAATATATTAAATGATGAATAAATCTAATTAACATATGACAACTGTTTTTCATTTATCTTATTGGTTATACAAAGTGAGTAGAATTATTATACTTGTAAATGAACGAGTATTATATTTTTACCTGTTGTAAATTAATTGTTTTTTTTACCTGTTGTAAATGAATGATTTTGTCATGTTTTATGTTATGTGTATGTTATTGATTTTATTTGTTGTAAATGAATAAACTTCTCATATTTATTTATATGAATGTATATCTTGTATTCATTAGATATCTTCAAGTTTACTTAGTTTGAATGTATGAATGAATGTCTGAATTAACACCTGTTGTATGTATGAATGTCTTCTGTCCAGTGTGAATGTAATTACTTACTAGTTGTGTGTTGAATGAGTGAATGTTGTGAGAAAGAATGTTGAAGTAAGATTATAAGGGAATGGAAGAATGTTAATGTGGTTAGAATGATGAGAAATTTAATATAATTGACTTTCTTGTGGCTATTGTTTTGTCCAGTACAGCAAAATTGGCTACTGTTGATGATGTGTTGTGTCCAGTAGAGAAAGAAATACCATTGAAAATTACGTAATCACTGTATATGATTCTATTATGCATTTTATTATGAACTATTCTCGCTGCCTTAAAAAAGAAAGGAATGATGAATTGAAATGAAAAAGTTGATAATTGTTTTCACCACAACTGTCAAATATTATCACCATCATCATCACTATCATCATCCTTAATAATATTCATCATCATCATCATCATTATCATTATCCGCTTTGTAAAACCTTCCTCTTTCCCCTACTACCACCACCAGTACCTTGCCACTACCCTGCTACCACCACCACTATCCTGCTCCTACCACCGCCACTACCCTGCCTCTACCACCATCACTACCCTGCTTCTACCACCACCACTACCCCTGCCCCTACCACCACCATCACTACCCTGCTTCTACCACCACCACTACCCTGCTCCTACCACCACCACTACCCTGCCCCTACCACCACCACCACTACCCTGCTCTCACCACCACCACTAGCCAGCCCCCGTGTGTGTGGGTGTATACAATGGAAATAATAATATATACAAAATTCTAAGAGATCAAGGACCTCTCATCAACATCCTGCCGCCCTTCAGCGTTCTCAATCTCTTCGTCATCACCTTCGTCGTCTTCGTTCCTGCGTTAATTCCGAGTCTTCAAACAGTGAAGCTTCGGTATCTTGACTTGCCGTGCCTTTGTTTATCTTAGGTGTGTGTGTGTGTGTGTGTGTGTGTGTGTGTGTGTGTGTGTGTGTCGCAAGCTGAGGTACTGGCCGGGTGTCACATTGTTCAAGGAGATTATTGACACACCTGACACTGTTGAGTGGGTAGGACAACGGCACGAGGTATAGTAGTACTTTTTTAGCTGTTATCAGTACATCAACCCCGCCCACATCCCCACTCATCTCTCCCTCCCTTCTTCCTCACTACACCCCTTCCCTTTCTCTCCGCCACCCTTAGCCCCCCCTTCTCACTTCTCCCTCTACCTCTTTTCATCTGTTTCTAATTTTAATCCCCCCCACCTCATCCCTTCATTACCCCCCTTACTCCCCTTCCCCCCCCCCACTTCCCCTCATCTTCTTTCACCCTCCCCCGTCTATCCCCCCTGAACCCCAGCTCCAGCCTTAAACACCTGGTGGGACACACACACACACACACACACACACACACACACAGGACCTTCAACATAAATTTGGGATATCTCAAGAAAAAAGCAACACGAATCAACAGTGGTCACCAAGGGCTGCTCAAAGAATGCCTTCACACCACGCTTGACAAACATTTCTCACGTGAGAAAAAGTAAATACCGCCACTAGTGAGGTCAGGAGAGGTCACGGATGCCTCTGGGTTGAATAAACGTACCCAAATCAACTGAACTTAAGGCGCCCCAAGGATCAACTGAACTTTAGGCACCCCAGGGATCAACTGAACTTTAGGCACCCCAGGGATCAACTGAACTTTAGGCACCCCAGGGATCAACTGAACTTTAGGCACCCCAGGGATCAACTGAACTCTAGGCACCCCAGGGATCAACTGAACTCTAGGCACCTTCAAATACAACGTTAGCTATTGTGTCATCACCCATTTTATTCATTTTGTCTCGTCTTCTTTATCAGGATGTAGTTTTATATACTTGACGAATATATACAACTATTTTTCACTCACAGTATCGAGGTACACCTTTCAGACTCAACTAAAGCAAATTTATGAAGGTTAAGGTTAAATAATTGCTCGAGTATTGGACTTTAAAATGTTGTATAAGAAGGTTAAGGTTAAATAATTGCTCGAGTATTGGACTTTAAAATGTTGTATAAGGATTATTTCCCGTAAGTGTCCCTGGATAAGGTAGCCAATCGACTTAGGCTACGGTAGTGTGTTATTATAGTTTGGACAGCTTGATGGTATAGCTTCAGTGAGCCAATTAGGTCTTTTAATTTGCTCTGATTTGAATTTATTGAGTAAAAATTCCTATATTACAAGCATACAAACATTACCATTTACCGAGAACAACACTGTATTTCCAACATGGTCCACTGACAACTCCTGTTTTATACACCAACGTGACCAAGAAGTTGTTATAAGCTGCGTTACTGAGGAGCGTTTGGCCTCGTGTCGCAAATGGACCAAGTTACGGGAGTATGATTGTAGGTCATGTCAGTCAACTTTTCAGAAATGCGTTAATAAACTCCCTAAAACGTAACGCAAAAATGAATTCCTTGGAAAATATAAAGTACATAAACTAATAAATTAATATTTGTAATAAGTGTCATAGGTTTTCCATCGCATTATCTCAAGGATTTTCAAGCGCTATAAACGCACACACACACACACACACACAAAGTCTGAAAATGCCATTGTTAATGTTATACCTTAAGTTTTGTCGTTTTTTATGATGTAGATGAGGAAAGTTTTTGTTCTTGCGAGAAACTTGTTGGAAAGGTCACGTTTGATTTACTAGATTCTGACCTGGACTATTATATTTGTACCAGAGTGATTTAGTAGTAGTAGCAGTAGTAGTAGTAGTAGTAGTAGAAAGTATGAACCCTAATATATTACTCATTATTTTCATTATCTAAAAAAACTACTTCAGTAGACTCCCACGTATACTGTATACCCATCACACCTACCCATTACTCTTACCTATAAATTACCTATCCAGAGTACATACATCTGTTTTCACCCTTGATACATTAGACAAATTCCAATGGTACATGTTCCCCCTGGCTAATGAACTAAGAGTACCAATGAACGTGATGTATTGGTGCCGTCCAAATGTAAAATATCGGTGTTTTAAATCTTGGGGGACGAGAGTTTGTTGGTACGATTTTGTTAGTGCTGGATGTGACTAATGTGGTGCAGTAATAATGATGATGATGATGATGATGATGATGATTATGATAATCCCGTTCTTATTTAGCGTTTAAAAATTTAACTTTCTTGAGCAGGGAAAAATCTATTGCCTTTGTGTGTGTGTGTGTGTGTGTGTGTGTGTGTGTGTGTGTGTGTGTGTGTGTGTGTGTGTGTGTGTGTGTGTTAAGTAAACCAATTAGTAAAAACAAAAAAAGTAATTGACAGTGACCAGGAAAGTAAACATTGAGATACATACTGTGTGTAGTTTTGTCGCTTGTCACTATCTTAACTGACTCTGGCTTTCTACTGTCAAGCAAGCAAGCCAAACTTAGCTTAACCTAACCTAACCTTAAACTAGCCTAACCTAACCTAACCTTAAACTAGCCTAACCTAACCTAAAACTATCTAAAACCCTTTCATTAACTCCCTTCATCCAACCCCTCCTCATCCGCGCCCTTCACCTTCCCCCTCCCTCCCCCTCCACCCATGCCATCCCCTCCCCCCTCGCCATCCCCTCCCCTCCTCCCCCATGTACCCATTGCCCGCACCACCTGGTTACACCTGTGGCTCAGTAGAATTAATTAGCATCAAGGAGGAACTTGTTGGCAACTGGGGTGGATGAGCATCACTCTCGCAGGCTATACAAGGGCTTTAAATCGGTCATATTCAAGAGGTTCAGAATTGGTTTGGCTCTTGATTTTTGAGGAACCTTAGGCACACTATAAATGTCCTCTTGACTCTCACTCTCACACACGCACGCAAGCACACACGCAAGCGTACACGCAAGCTCACACGCAAACACACACACACACACACACACACACACACACACATATTGAGGTTTCAAAGACTGTATCGTGCCTAATTTAGATAGAAAGATATTTTTCAGGAAAATAGTCGTCTCAGTGGGCAACATAAGTGACCTTCCATGTCAGTGGGCCACGTAAGTGGCCCTCCATCTCAGTAGGCCAGATAAGTGGCCCTCCCTCATCTCAGTGGGCCACATAAGTGGCCCTCCCTCATCTCGGTAGGCCACATAAGTGACCCTCCATCATCTCAGTGGGCCACATGGGTTCTAGATCAGTGACTCCGAGTCTTCTCACAGTAATGAGACAGATTCATTCAGACCCATGAAGCTCCGACAACTGCTTTGAGATGTTTCATGAATCAGTGTCACGACTTTCTCCTTTATTTTGTTGAAAATTGTTACAGGAGTAAAGGGAGATGGAAGGTTAATCTAATTGTTTTATTTCTTTCCAGGTAGGTGAAAGTTACAGCTCCTCGAGGGACCGTAACGCATCACA